AATGAGTTAATGCTAAATTTGAACATATTTCAGCCTAAAAATCATATTTGGCATATAAAAGTAAAATTGATTTTTCCTGGCAGTTTCCCTCCTTTCTATTGCAAAGGCCCAATATATAGTCCTTCGCTAATGCTCCAGACTAATAAGTTTCTCACATTCTAATAATCTATCCCACTTATACATACACCTATTTATAATGATAACATCCGTTTCACTCCAAGTTTTTTAAGTTCTGCAATAGATCTTTTCTGTGTTGAATAAATTTTGAACCTACATTACCAGAGAATAGATAAGTGCATAGCCATAATTTTTGATAAAAATAATTGACATTTTACTGATCCATTTCGATTCACCCTTACCATTATATCTCATTTTGGTAGCATTCCACTCCGCCAAATATTTGAAAAAATAGTTTTTGTATCGAAAGTACGATATTACACCAATCACTTTATTGATTTACTGTGTCAGATGTTTGATATAAGGCATGTGACGGACGTCAAGCTTGATTTGACACGTGCTGGCAATCACGATTTTCTCAGTAAAGATCAAAATGCCGATATATAACAAGAAGAGTAATATGTCCGTTTTATTTTAGAACATCTATATATTAGATATTTTCCAAATAATACATATTTACTAGAAGATTCTGGATTTCTACTTAAATCTTGGTTAATTACACCTTTTAAAGATAATTTACGAAGAAGTGATTTAGAAAAAATTTTTAATAAAATACATTCTTCAATGCGTGTTGTTGTTGAAAGAGCTTTTGGTAAACTTAAAGCTAGATAGAGAATTCTTGGGAAGGAGGAATATTTAGTCGTAATTTGGATTATATAATTCAAATTATTTATGTTTGTTGTTTGTTTCATAATATATGTATAGAATATTTGGATTTTTGGGAACTTAATAATGATGAAGTAGATGAATATGATATTAATGATGATTTTGAATATTCTGAAATAGAAAATGAAGGAAATTCTAGAAGATTAGAATTAGTACAAGATTTATTTACAGATTATTGATATTTACATTTTAAAAAGAATGAGTAAAGTATATCAAATATAATGAATGTTGTATTTACAGTACATTTTATATTTTTGCAATTATTTCGTCTTTCAGTAATCCGATTTGGATAATATTTGGTTTTTTTTGTGAAGCTTGAGTTGAGGCGAACACGATGGTGGTTATTTCACGATATTCTGATGTGTAGGTCCCGAGATATTCACGTCCGGAACATTTGTATAAATTATAATCTATATAAGATTTTTTTATTTTTCAAATTATAATGCAATTAAAAAAAAATACACATATAAATTTATTTTACATAGCAATTTATTTAGCAATTTATTTATTGTAATATAGTAAATGTTAATATGACAGATTAAAGCATTATTAAAGAATTTCATTCTCCTACTGATAATTTGATTCAAGAATGGGCCATTTATTGAGGTATATATGAATTAGATGAGGAATTTGTAGACTTAAATGTATATTGGCGTAGTAAAAGACATTTATTACCAGAACTTAGTGCATTAGCATTAATATATATATGGTTACCTGTTGATGTTGAACATAGCTTTTCTAGCTATAAAACAATTTTGTCAGATAGAAGGGTGGCACTTAAAAAAGAAAGCATTCAAATGCTTAATTTTCTTTACATTAATCTTAATGAAAATATTGATTTTTAATGAATAAAATAATTTTTTTGGATGGTTAATTGTTATATTTTATATTTTACATTTATTTTGCTATAATAAATTTGGTCAATTTACTAAAAATTATAAAATTTCGACTAGGCGATAAAAATCGTAAAATCACGTGCGATTTTTTAGGCTGTCACGCCTGGACAACACTAATAAGATGGGGGAAATTTTTTATTTCCCGGTCAAATAGTTTTGTTAATAAAATTTTGTCGTGTTTTATTTTGAATCATATATTAAATATTTGAGATATCAAGATGAAACGAGACAACAGTAACAATCCTTCTTTTAGAGACAAGAAAAGAGGTATTTGAATAATTTCTTTAAATATTTTAATTATATTTTAATTGTTTACATATCTTCTGAAATTTCAGTTAAAACGATTGCTCAGAGAACGATAGAAACACATAACATTACTACCGATGCTGGTTCAAGCAAAAGTATGGGCAGTTATTCTAATTATATGATTTTATATCCTGGTGTGATTTATATTTGTCAATTCAAAATTTTATTTGGCAATTATATAATATTCCTCTATACTTTTAGTAATAAATTATACTCCAAGAACCATTGATGTTGTAGATTTTGCGGAGGTACTTAAATATTAATGAGTGATTCTGTCATATCAATAATTTGCTTAACTTTATTTGCTTTCTTAGGCGAGAGCATTTGAAATTAATGCTATGAATGACGCTTTGGAGCGAGCAAAGTAAATATCAAATTCAATTTGCTTTTTTCAATATATTATTTTTAATCATTATATTCATTTCGTTTAGTCAAGCTAAAAACTCCAGAGCTTCTCAAAATCTACCTCGTCACCTTCGACGTCGTGCCGCAAGTCATAATGTCAAACGCTTACCTATTCGCTTAAGAAAAAAGGCAACGGAAGAGGTTTGTCAAATAATACTTAATCGGATAAATGATGAAATTGCTTAAATATTTTTATTAAATGAAGATGGAACTAGATAAATCCGTTCCAAAAAAACCTAGCAGACGCAAACAAAGACGTCCCGCGACTTTATCTGCCGAATATAAGAGACGACAAAGTTAATATTTAATTTACATATCAAATAATAGTTGATTTTATCCTAATTATACATTTTTTTTAATGTAATGTAGCAAATAAGAAGTGGCTTGAAACACATATGTGGCATTCTAAACGAATGAAGATGACTGAATTATGGGGATATAAATTGGTAATGTTCTGTTTCTATTTTATTGTAAATTGTAACAAAATATCTTAATAAAAACTTTTAATTAAGGCAGAGCATCCAAATGAGAAAAGCATTAAAGCATCGTATCGAGCAAGTGAACATCTATCGATCATCCATGACGCTTCTTATTTTGGATGGTTAAAAGTTTCCGGTAATTCCAGTAATATCATAAAATTGTTAAATAGTGTTACAGACCCAACCTTGCCATCCGTAGGAAGCGAAAGGTTTGCAATATATTTACGTATTTTATAGTTATTTAAATATAAATATATATATATATAAAATGGATTCAAATATAGGTATTCGAACGGAAAACGGCAATGCTCCACTTTCATTTACGCTTATTTAAAATATCCAAATCATTTTTTGGCACCAATAAATCTTATTTGGAAGCCAATCATAAATTCAGTGGATAACAATCGGAGTATTCTTATTTGGATTCATCCTAGTGCTTATCAAGAGGTGTTAAGAGCTTTTGAATTTGCACGTGAACAGATGAATTTAACTGAATGTAAGAGAAACTTGTGAATGATGGGATTATCTAACGTTTTAATCTTTTTTTCTTAATAATATATTCGCTTTTTTATAGCTGTATCGATTGAAAATCTTCAAGATGAATTCCTGATTTTTGAATTAACGGGACCACGATCAACAGCCTTGTTACAAACAGTTCTAGATTTATACGATGATCCAATCGATTTAACCGAGGAAAATGATAAAATGTCTTCAAAACTTCGTGTAAATAATGAAGCACACAAGGTAAGTACTTAAAATTTTTAATTTACATATTTTCTTTCATTATATAACAAAATTTTATTTAGACATGGAAAACTTTACGTGGTTTACGAACTTCAACTTCATTACCACCTAACATTGTTTTAGGGTTAACGGTCCTCGATCCGCGCTTACAGTTGGTATAGTTTTTTTTTATTATTACATTAACTTCAACATCTATTAATTGCAATTAATAATATATGCAGATTTCCAAAGAAAGTTCCACAACGTTCGAATTTGATGCCTGTTGAATCAGAAAGAGAATTGCAAGAAATTTTGGTTAATTGGCCTGAAAACGTTGCATATTCTGAATTATGGAGTGACGAGGTTCGGAACGCATTATCCAATAAAATTTCTGACGGCGATTTAGATAAACGCAGAAGTAAAGTAAGTATGCAGATTATAAAATTTTATAAGATTCGGATGGTTTTTAACGCGAATGATTTTTATTGAAAGTTACTTGTTCCGGGGCAAAAGTTATTATTACAATCGGAGGATTCGCTAATTCCGATTTTTTTAATAAAACGGGATGGAATTAATATGTCGATTACATCAAAAAGAACATCAGAATTTGTAGGTGGTTGGAATATTATTATGCCTGCGAATTGGGGGATGGCTTTTTGGAAAAGTTTTATTTTTGCAGGTGCATGGGTTGGTGGTATGTCGTAAGTCAATCGGATGTCAATATATTATTTGTTTTTACAATAACAAATTTTAATAACGTTATATAATTTTAGGGTTGCGAGAACGTCATAATCATCACTTCGAATCAGGTATACCATGTTTCCCATACGATTTTCCTGGTACTATACCATACGAGAATTTTTCAAATGTTCAGAAAAGGGTAAAACAATTAGAATATAACAAACGCCCACCTGCAAAGCGTCCAAATTTCAAAAAACTTCTAGTTGATTCACCATTCGAACCACCGTTTGATCAACTGGTGGGAATAGATTCAATAGAACTACGTGATTATATACACGAAAAAATCATAGCCAAAGAACAAGAAAAAAAAATGCCATGGTTACTTCAAGGAATAAAAAACATTCGTTTACTTGAGAATGCCGAAAATTACAGTGAAGAATTTAGCCAATTACTTTCCAAACAAATAATACAAGCATTCAATGTTAGAGATATAAATCTTGAAAGTGAAGCTGTTTCACTTGATTCAAGTAAAGCTCTTGTTCATGTCAGAGTAGGATTCTTGGCACGAGGATTACCTGGACCAAATGCTATAATATATAAGGCTGATAAGATTACATATGATCATTGGATTAATGTGCTCAACAACAGAAATGACGACTCAAATAGTATTGAATCGGAAAATGACGATACTGAGGGGGTAAATCAACGCAATTTATTGATTTGAGCGCTTTTATTTATTTTCTTTAGTAATTCTAATTGAATATTTAGGTTCATCCGTCTTCATTACCTTCCAAAGCTGATATAATTGGTTATGTTACGACAGGACAATTTTCTTTTAGTCAAGGACATGGATTTGCAATTGGATGTTGTTCAGTAACTAGTATTTTAAACTTATTTAGAATTCAAAAAAGGTAATTATAATGGAATTTATATTAATAGATATTATTATTTGTTTTTAAAAATTATTTATTTTTTTTTAGTGAAGGAAGGAAAATAACGAATTTTGTATTAGTTAGAAAGATAACAAGTCATACTTGTAAACCTGCTATTTTAGAAATTTTGCCATGATTCAATAATATTACCAATAATTTGATCTACAAGTCCAATAAAATATTGAAATTCATTTCATTATTCAATTGATGGCTTTTTTTCGTTTTGTAAATACATAATATTAAAATTTTTAAATAATAAATGCTTAAAGATAAATATACATCAATACATTAATATTCCAAATTCTAGTTTCTTAATTATTTAAACATTATTTCCTGATAATGCCTCATGTAAATATAAAACTGCAAATGCTAAGAAAAGCAATGCACCGATTATTGTTACTTTAATTCAAATTAATAAATTAGTAACTTACATAAATATAAATGCAACGATAAATAACTGTAAAATTCTAAAATACACGTACCTGATTTAACGGAAATTTTTGCTGCCAAAAATCTTCCTCCAATGACAGCAATACCAGTACAAAGACTATGACCAAGAATAACTCCCAGCGTTACAAAATAAACATTCTAAATAATTTTTTTTTTCATAATTAATAAGGAAATATATATATATATATATATAAAACAAAATAAAAATAAATAAACGCGATTTAATTACCTGTGCGGCAGCTAAAGCAATTGTTGCAATTTGAGAACGATCGCCCCATTCCCCCAAAAATGTAAGTACAAAAGTTTGAACAAAAACGGGAGAAAATATAAATTGACATAAATTGATTAATCCATCTTTAAAACCAGAATGATTTGATTCTTCATCTACACCACCAGCTTCAGCAGATTCAATTAGATCAAATTCTTCCTTCTCTTTTAATTCTTGTGTTACCTCATCTAATTCTTGCTTAGCTTCTTCTTCAGACATATAATAACCACTATATAACATTTTAAGACCAAAAAATAAAAATAATAATGCTGCAAGAAAATTTGTATATTCTTTTGGAATTAAATTTGGTACAGCATGACCTAAGACAGCCGAAAGAACCGACATTAGTATTAATGAACAAAGAGCAGATGTAAATACTACAATTCTAGAATTTTTCATCGCCATTAAGGCTGCAATAAAAAACGTCTTATCTCCTATTTCTGATACAATAATCATTATTACACTAAGAAAAAATGATTTTGAATCTTCTATATCCATAATTGGTGAACTTAATTTAATTCCTGATTGAATCTTATTAGCTTCTTTGATATTGATATCAAGCACTGATCCAACAAGATCAGGATCTTCTGCTTCTACTCTAACTAATTGTGACTAAATTTTAAAAAAAAGTATAAAGGTAAAAAAAAATAAATAAAAACAAAAAAATTATTTTTATTCGAAAATATAAAATTATACCTCGGCATCAACTAATTCCGTTCCCTCTACCCCTTCCACAGGAATGTTAGATTTGGGTAAAACATCTCTTTTAACAGCTTGAAGTTCAATAGAACTTTCTGCGTTAATATATGAACTTGAAAATATAAATAAAAGGAAGAAAACTAAAATTGATTTTCGTGTGAATAAGTTTTGAAATATCATTTTGTAATAATATAATTATATAAATTCCAAATATTACAACATAATAAAATGATCAAAAAAGAAAATTTGAAAGGAGTGGAATAAGAGCCGTAATTGTTTACAAATGAATTTAGCGTAGGTTAGAAGGACACATTTAAATATCGTATTGAATTTTGTCATACAAATATTGCTTAGTTCATTATAACCTTGTCTGTTATCATCATATAGTGGCTTTCACTTATAAACCGCACTAGTCCGAAATTTCGGATGTCAAATTTCACGTGACTTTCATGTGATTTCACTATAATCATGTGATTTACACGTGATTTTAGTCTTTATTCACAAATATGCATATTATTATACTGGTTATCTATACTTTATGTGAGAATTAAGAATGCTATCTTAAACTACTAATTTTAGTTAAACAAAACTAGTTTTGATAGTTTTAACTATTAACTAAACTAGTTTTGATACTAAACTAAACTAATTTCAGTTATTCTAAATTACAAAATTTTAGTTTTAGACAACAATACTAGTGAAAACTATTTGACTTGAATTTTAAACATTGATTAAGAGTATATTAAACTATGTTAAAATATATATAAAAAAGATATATCAAATATTAATTAAATAATAAAAGTTGTAATTAGTATTTGTTTTGTAAATAAATAAAAAAATTACAATAAAAATAAAGTTTATATATACATAAAAATTAAATAAATACTTTTTTATAATTATAATATTTATTGAATATTTAATATTAAAATTTATTATAAATTAATTAATTTATTTAATATAGCTTATTTATATAAAATTTACAAAAATTTAAAATAAAAAAAAAATTTTATTACAAATAAAGTAAGCATATATAATAATTATTAATAATTATAAAAAAATTAAAATATTTTTATCAAAAAGGATTATATATATTGTTAATTAAAATATCTTTTGATCTAATGATTACATTTTAATAGAAAATGATATTTAGAATCATCTTATTGAGAGCTTTCCAATAAATATAAATTCAAAGTTATTTGATCAATAAAAGCAAAGATAATTCAAAAAAGTGATTACTATTATAACTTTGCAGATTACTACTAAAGAAAGTTATAATTTCTTAAGCTGTAACCAATGATCAAATAATCAAACCCTTAGAAAAGTTAATAATGTTGTTAACTAAATTTATATAGTTATTTAAGTTTAATAAATTTCTTTAGTTTACTTAATAAAATTGGTTAAATTAGTTAATATAGTTAATAAAGTTTACAATATTTCTTTAGTTTTTATAGTTTTACTTTATCTTAAATTAGTAATAAAAGTAGATCAAATATTTTATATAAATAGGATAGAAAATTATTGTAGTTAATCAATCAGATAGTAAAATCAAAAAGTTAGTTAAGTTTATAATTAATTAGTTAATTAGAGAATTAATTGTAAAATTCATATTCTAATAAATTTGTAAACAAGAAGTTAATTAGTTTACTGAATCATATTGATCTGCTTATATTTTATTAATAAACAAAATATTATTCCTATAATATTGACCTATTAAATTTGTGACCTAAAATCCAATCTATTATTATTGCTTTCACATCATATTTAAAGTATTTATATCACAATTTATATTTATATATCCTCAACATTTCTTGTATTTTATAAATTGATATACTGTTAATTCAATAGTTTTATTAATGTGAATAAGTTTTTATGATTATTAAGTTAAATCATTATTCTTCAGTTACCTATAACCAGGGTTGGAAATTTTGTATATACTAGATAAAATTACCACTGTACTTGTACTGTATTTGTATTAATTTTTATATTAATTATTATAATGTACTAACTGTATTAATTGTATTAATCATGTACTAATACTGTACTTCCTAACCTTACCTACAACCTTAAACTTTGTAATCAGCTTATATAATAATATTAAAATAAAAACTTAAAATATTTAAATAATACATATTAAAGATACTAGTTTTAATTTTATGATTTAATATTATTTCTTGATATAATATATTAAATTATATAATTTATTTGATATTATAAATAAATATAATTCTTAAAGAAAGTAATAATCTATATTTATAATAAATATAATTAAATATATAAAAAAATATATTTGTTTTAATTTATGATAATGATACTTATCAAAACTATTTTTCATTGTTGTGAACTAGTTTTACCAATTTAGGTTTTAAATTTTACTAAGTTTTACCAATTTATCATAGGTTTTATCATATAAAAAGCTAAAAAAATGAAATTCTAAGAATATTTAATAAAATTTTGATTTTTATTGTATTTTAATTGTAATAAGAATAAAATTTAGTCAAAAAATTCTTAGAATCCTATTTTTTTAATATAATTTCAACCTTTTTTTTAAAAAATCTTAAAATAATAATAAAAAAAAAATATTTTTATAAATATTATTTTATTATAGATAGATAAATAAAAAAAAAAGTTGATTTTTTTATTATATGTAAAAATAAATATAAAAAAAAGTATTAATATTAAATATAAATTATTTTTTTTCATATTCTTTATTTAAGATTTAATATATTATCTTATAATTGCCATATATTGTAATTAATAAGTTGTAACTTTCCTAATATTTTGTAAAATAATTGTAAATAAAAATAAAGATATATATTTTTAGTTTAAGAAGTTAAGCTTTCTATATAATCTATAAAATATAAAATTTCTTAAATTAGAAAATTCTACAAAAAAGGTTTAACTTATATTATAGATAATTTCAATTAAATCTTTTAATAAAATAAATAGAAAGTTGGATTTAATTAATAAAAATGCATATGAAAGGTTATTATTACATAAAATACAAGAGAATTTTATTATGCTAATAATATTATCTAAAAAAGTATAAAATATAATAAAAGTATAAATAGTTAATTTGAATAATACAAATAATTTTTATTATTTAGATATCTATTAATATTAATGTAATTTATATTATATATATAGTTTGATAATAAAAATATATGATTATATGGGTTAGTATATATAAAAATCATACTGCAAGACTATATAAATCATAGGATTCTGCAATTCGATTTGATATTTGAATATTTGATTTGGTTCGATCAAATTCAAATCAAGTATTCAAATATTTGATTTAATTTGAATCAATAGTAAAGCCATCTCCAAAATCTCCAAAGCTTCAGGAGTGGCTCTTACTAAGAAAACTATAGTAAAAGCGCTTCTGCGGCTTTGAAAATGCCTTTTTACTAAAAAAAATATAGCAAAAAGCACCTCTACAGCTTCAAAAATATCTTTTTACTAAAAAAACTATAGTAAAAAGTGATTTCGTGGCTTTAGAAATGCCTTTTTTTACTAAAAAACATAGTAAAAAATGCCTATGCAACTTCAGAGATGTTTTTTACTAAGAAACCTAGTAAAAAATGCGTCTGCAGCTTCAGAACATTATTTTACTAATAAAATTGTTACGAAGCTGAAATGGCAATTATTACTAAGTTTCTTAGTAAAACTAAAGTTGCAATAGCGATTATTATACATGAAGTCGAAATGGATCATTTTGGATA